CATTAAGGATTTGGATACAGCCAAATACTTCCTTGGTATTGAAATTGCAAGAAGTACAGAAGGGACATACTTGAATCAACGCAAATACACATTGGACTTGATTAAAGATGCAGGTTTGATGGGTGCTAAACCTGCCCCTACACCAATACCAAAAGGAACAAAATTTTCAGAATCAGCCGGACCATTGCTCTCTCATCCTGATAAGTACAGGTGATTAGTGGGAAGACTCCTTTACCTCAATTTTACAAGACCGGATATTACTTATTGTGTTCAACAGTTAAGTCAGTATGTTAATGCTCCTTGTGAACAACATTGGTCAGCAGCAATGTATCTTCTTTGATACTTGAAGGGCAGTCGTTCGAAAGGACTATTTTATCCAATGAAAAATGAAATGAAGCTTGAAGCCTACTGTGATGCCGACTGGGCAGCCTGTTTAACCACTCGTAGATCACTCACAGGTTATTGCGTGTTTCTTGGATCAACATTAATCTCCTGGAAGACCAAAAAGCAAACTACAGTGTCACGTTCATCAGCAGAGGCTGAATAGAGAAGCCTAGCATCAGTTGTCTGTGAACTTCAATGGTGTTCTTATATCCTTCGAGATTTCCATCTTTCAATTCCGTTTCCTATTAACCTATGGTGTGAGAATCAAGCTGCTTTGCACATTGTTAAGAACCCCGTCTTTCACGAGCGTACAAAACACTTAGAAATCGACTGCCATCTAGTTCGTGATCAATACAAGGCTGGTTTCATTCTTCCACAACACGTCTCCACTCATCAACAACTTGCAGATATTTTCACAAAAGCCTTAGCCAACCCCCAGTTTTTTAAGCTTCTGTCCAAGTTGGGCATGATTGATTTACATGCTCCACCTTGAGGAGGGGATGTACAAAATGGGAAGTCAGCTTTCAGCTTTCAGCTCCAGTTAGTTAGTTATTTAATATTCCAAGTAGTTAGTTTGTTAAATAGTTTGATGAGTTGTCATTTTTCTATTGGTTTAGCTATATTTTCAGTTTTACATCTTGTATATAAATAGTGTAAATTCAGAGGTTGAACTTGCGAGATACAAATATGATTTTTCTCTCCTTCATGATTTTTTCTCTGCCTTGATATTGTTTAAATTTTTTAGTCATCAGCAGACTTGGGTTGTATTAGTGTTGACGTCCACAATTTAATATCATGTCCTTATTTTGATGTAAGTGGTGCTTTGCTGCTGGTAATATGGAGAATAAGGAATTCTAGGCATCTATTGGAAGACAACAGAACCAAACTCCTTGATTACCTTTCAAAGCTTCAACATGCAACAAGTGAGCAGTTCCAGGACTGAGTGAGTGAGTGACCTAGATCTTCAGGAGATGGATGAAGATCAAGTTGGCGAAGATGAAAGACGAATCTGACATGGATATTGATGAAGTAGGCCTTTGCCTAGTAGAGTGAAGACAAAATTTCTTGAACCTGAAGCAGAAGATGAGGACTACAACATGAAAGAAGATGAACATAATAGAGAAGCAGAAAGCAGGCGTTCTTAGGGATCTCTTGCTTAAATCTGTAGCTTTATGTGCGGCTTCGCAATTCTTTCACCCCATCGCATTTCGTCGGGGTAAAAATTCAGTTTCAGTATCAGAGGTTGAACTTCACCTTGTGTTGGAAAACAGAATTTCGTCTGCAAATCCTATAAATTAAAACAATTTTTATGATGCCTGTTAGCAAACCTTATTTGTTGTTGATGCCAAAATGATCTATGGATGAATCTATTCTAATTTAGCAACTTTTATATGTCTCGTTGCACGTGCAATTAGCGTGCGTAGCATTCAAAATGCAGGCATTAATTTCTGTGAAGAAATTTGATAAATAGCTAGCTTCAATAGTTTATTGGCATTCCAGCAGCAGTAATTGATGAATGCTATTTTCAATTCAAGCATGGAGTTGGAAAAATAAGGGATTGAAAAAATATTGCCAAACTAGGGAGAGATAAAAATAATTAATCAGGAAGATTTGTAGAAAATTGGTTTGTTTAGGAAAAAATTCTGTAGAGATTGCATTTGATATATACGAATTGAAGACGCAATTCTAGGTTTTATTGAGGTCTTTTGGCAGGTGAGATTTCCCTCATTTTGCTTCGTCTTGATTTTTATATAGCGTCCATTCAGCCTCCATATTTTATTTTATTTATCTGACAAATGTATTGGCAGTTTTCAATTTTTAAATGGTGTCCAAATTTTGATGTAAGTGGTGCTTTTCAATTAAGTGATGCTTTGCTGCTGGTAACATGGAGAATAAGGAATTCTTGGCATTTGTTGGAAGACATCAGAACGAAGCTCCTTGATTATCTTTCAAAGCTTCAACATGCACCGAGTGAGCAGTTCCACCGGTTACAGATCTTCAAGAGGTGGGTGAAGATTGAGTTGGCGAAGATGAAGGATGGGATCCTGAATCTGACATGGATATTGATGACGTAGGCCTTTGCCTGGCACTGGCACTGGCAGAGTGAATACAAAAATTCTTGAAGAAGCAAAAGACGTGGGTGACAACACGAAAGAAGATGAATTTAGCAAATAATGCATTTTTAAACAGTGATTGAAGGAGAATGTGTGATTAAAAATTAAAGAAAATTTTTGGATTTACGTGTATTATTATTTTATTGAAGAATGTGTTGTTGAAAGTGAGTTTTATAAAATAAATTTTCAGAAGAATGGGGCTCAAACAAGGGTTTAATAGCTATTGATGATGCAGTTCCAGGTTTAATAAGGGTCTTTCTGCGGGTGTGATTACTTTTCATTCTGCCTCATTCTGTTGTCGTGAACAGAAAATATTCGTTGATAAAAATCGATTTTAGTGAATTAAAATCCATCATAACTATTGAGTCGCAACAATTACGTTGCAATTACTATGGTATAAGCACCGTCGCAACATACACTTATTTACGATGATTGTGTCAACCATAACATATAAGATAAAATGTAGATTAAAATCTTAACTTCATATCAAACATTTAGGACTTTATGATATGTATTGTCGAAATGTCTCGAGTTTCATCAGTAATTATTAGCGAGAACGCTATTTGTGTGACATCATTAAATTTAAAAAGCATGAATGTTTGACACGTGCAATTGGTGAGCATCCCACGTCAATTGCATGCACATATTTGTTTAGAGTGTCATAAAACGTTTCGCAAAGAAGATGTAGATTTCTTTTACGTTCTTATTGTTTTAGTATTCCTTAAAAATTTATCCTATAAAAATTATGCAAGTACACAAATGTACGCGAGTGAAATCCCAATAAAATATCATAAAGTCAAGAAGAAAAGAAGCACATCGAGAGAATACACCCGCAATGTGAATATTTAGGATTTTGATTGCGTTTGCCATTGAGAATTTTTTGTTTAGATACTTTCTTTACTGAGGCAACATTCAGATTATTTCTGAAGTTATTTTGATTCTAATAGTAATCAATAAACTAATTTTATATATATTGTTGTAATGTCGCAAGTTTCATCAATAATACCTAAATAACTTTGATCGAGAATACTATTCATATTAAATTTCCGAAAGTAGAAAATATGATGTCTTTGCATGTGGAATTAGGCTTAGATGTGTCATGAAAAATTTCTCACAGAAAATATAGGTTTCTTTAAAAATCGCAAGCTTCCTTCCCCACCTCCTCTGCGCAACTTAGAACGCGTATAAGTAGTTCTAATGCGATCTGAGACGCTTTGGCTCGTCATTCAAGAACGTAATAGAACACATTTACTAGGATCATGATACGTCAAAATTCTATCTTATGATTTTATTCATGCAGTATCTTGATTTCGATTGCAAATAAAATATAATATGCATAAGAAAATTCATCTTAAAATTATTGGGGAATACACCGATTATGTGCATATTATATTCATAAAAGCATATCGTTTATTTGTGTGAAATCGAAACGTAATTTCGTCTTATCAAAATGGAATTTGAGAAGCAAAACAATAATAGTTATCGAATCTGAATGCATGATTATGGATTCATCTTTTTCGATTCTTGAACGAAAGCAAGTTATTCTTTGAATCAAACCTCGCAGAACAAACATGTAAATAATGTTAATAAGTTTCTGAAATGAAATCATAATTAAGAGAAGAAAAATGCAAGTGATGAATTTTTGATCGAGGCAAGTGTTTGACACTTGATCCTTAAGATGAATTTGCCCCGCATCGGTGCTAATGATTTTTCGACAATCATCTCTCAAAATACAACGACCACGTCAAGTCATAGGAGCATTCCAAATGACTTCGACCATCGAACTCGAACGGAATTCCATCTCTACTAAGGAAATGCATGAAAATGTTATGAAATTAGAAAGGAGAGAATTGCAAGAGGAGAATGAATGCTCAATGCAATTGGTATACCCAAAACTATGTCCATAGGGTTCTATTTATATATGTAGAAAGGTACAAATGAAGTAGTGTGTGTCAAAATATGCATCCTTTCAAAAATTTACAACATTTGGCCAAAACCTGCATTCTTTCGAAAAGTTGCAACACTTCATTTCTTTCAACATTGGTCCGCAATTTCTAATTCATCCGGAATTGGTTTCGAGACTCCAAATATACCATGACGATCTACTCGACGAGTAGAATAAGTTGGTCTATTTACTTTTGTAATTTGACTATCGGATCAGGTCCGAATATTTGGTCGAAATTGACACGTAGTCACACCTTTTCATTTTCCACTTTTATACTCATTTTCATTTTCCAATTTTTGATTAATTATTTGAACCAATTCCTATAGTTAAGTGATTGTGTGTAGATCTTGCAGTAGAGATATATGAATAGAAATGATGCAACATTTAAAGTCCCATATAAAGCGTTCTGTTGATTTTCTTGTTTTGTTACCTTTATTTAGATTTGGTAAACTCTAGTTTCTTAGCTCAAATAGGTTGATAAAGACAACGTTGTACCACTACCTAGGCACTACTATGTCGTTAGTCTTGAGGCTGGACAACCTAGACATCTGCCCTGCCCTCGCTCTGAAAACATAAACTCGTGCTTGGATGCATTTTGCGAATAACTGAATATTTGCTCCATCTTTGGCAAACGTGAACTTTTGTGCAAGATGCAAAAGAGAATCAGACGAATATTTACCTGTGCAAAAGAGAAAGCAAGTGTTAGCTATGCGAAATTCGCCACGAATGGAGGTTTCTGTGATATTGATTTTATAATTGTCAAAGCAACTTCTCCTGATGATCTACCGTTGCTGGACAGATATGTTCTTGAACTGCTAAAAATATTTTCAATTTCACCATCATCCTGTCAGGCATTTTTATTAAGTTTTACTCGACGTTTTGGCAAGACGGAATCATGGAGAGTTGCACTGAAATGTCTCGTTCTCCTCCACCGGCTTCTCCGATCAGTGCCTGATGGAAGCCCCTTTCGTGCAGATCTCTTATGGGCTCGAGCCAACGGGTTATTGTCTCTCAACCCGTGTCATTTTCGCGACAGGTCTTCATCGTCTTCTGAGGATTATACGGCATTCATACAATCATATGCTCATCTACTCGATGAAGCCCTGAATTGCGTGTCCATTGAAAGTCAAGAAAAAGACAAACAAGAATACGAAAGCTTTCAAGAAAAAATGGAGGAGTTGGGAAGAATGGTAGAGATATTACCTCAACTCCAAACCTTAATAGACCGAGTCATCAGTTGCTGGCCTACTGGTTCAGCAGCTAGAAGCTTCATTGTCCGATCCACAATGAAATATGTTATTCGAGATAGTTTCATCTGCTACACCACTTACAGGAAGGAGATTGTTAAAGTCTTAGACAACCTAATTCAGTTGCCTTATCGAAATTCCATGGCTGCTTTTAGCATCTACAAGAAGGCAGCCATTCAAGCAGACCAACTCTGCAAATTTTACGATTGGTGCAGGTCTATGGGATTCTGTGGCTTTTATGAATATCCCTTTGTTGATCGGATTCCGGAAATACAGATTCGTGCACTTGAAACCTTTCTTGATGGGATGTGGCAACTGACTGATCAATCCTCTTCATCAACTGAATCCACATTGGCATCTACCTCAATGTCCCCAACTTTAACAGAGGATGACAGTGACAAACAACTAGTTACACGGCCAGAGAGTGGCGCCTTTTCTATCTCCGCCAAGGTTGAAGAGAAGGTCGCTGTGGAGGAGAAGACGAAAGGCGTAGAAATGGAGCCTCTGATACAGTGGACAGTAGATGACAATGTTGATTGGGAGGATCTTTTAGAAGCCTCCATTAATGCTAGCCAATCCATAACTTCAAGAAACTGTTACTTCCATCCTTATGGCTATGCACAGGGAAATTACTTAGCTGATGGATTTGTTGGCCAACCAAATGGTTGGCAAATGCAAGTATACATTTCAAATCCTTTTTACGAGCCAGGCAGAACAACCACCACTGCCCATGGATCGTACCCTAGTAACCCCATGTACCCATGGGGTCTTTAATGCTACTTGAAATACAAAATTTGATAGTACTTCATTTGTGACCATTTTCACAATAAACTGAGCAATTATCTCAGCCCTTAAGTTTATCTTTTTTCTCTCTTCACAAAATAATTGATCATATGTTTTAATTGTACTATATAAATGTTAAGTTTCGTTATTCATTGTCTATTAATATATTTTATAGATTTGGATGCTAAAATCAACTATCAATGTGAAGTAGACGATCCGAACCGCTTCTTGTAATAACGACTGATTTATTTGCTTAATTTATATGATTTTTGGCAGCTGCATGTACACGATGAGTAACATTTTAGACATTTAGCAAGATTGATAAATGACTTGTTTTATAGG